GACAATATTTAAAACGATGATATAAAACAATAGTTTAATTCAAAGCTTACATTTGACTCAGTCTTTATATTAAATTATGTTTATTGTAACTAATGCCAAATAGTTAATAGTTGTGTATATGATAGATTCCAGTGAGCAGTGCTGCAGTGGTAGTGTTTCTTGTATCAAAATTAAATAATATATTATAGCTTGGCATCTACTCAAGTTTCAATCCTCAATTCTTTATATGCTTATAAATACCTAGGCATATCCCAGCTAAATGTGCATGTCTCAGTTACAATAGTCATAGAATAAAAGTTATTCTGAATAAGGAGTGCATTATATATATATATATATATATATATATATATATATATATATATATATATATATATATATATATATATATATATATATATATATATATATATATATATATATATATATATACGCTCCTTCACTTCGGTGTTGTTGAGCACTCTGCGGAGTTGTTAATGGATGTCTATTAGCGATAATTCAAAGCTCACTTCCCTTGTGGTCGTTCGAGCACTCTGGCTCCATTACGCTCTGCGCATGTCTGGATGCGTTAAGTCACCGTGTTGTACCACATGCCTTGGTGAGAGCAAGTTCATGGGGTATTAATACGAGTGTCTCACGTATCTAGACGTGTACCAAGCTGCACTGACGAGGCGTTGAACGCCGAAACATGCATGTCTGCTGATTGTACTATATATATATATATATATATATATATATATATATATATATATATATATATATATATATATATATATATATATATATATATATATATATATATATATATATATATATATATATATATATATATATATATATATATATATATATGTATATAAATACAGTAATTAACACACAATTTATAAAAACTGTATGTTTTGAATCAAATATGATTCACCTTCACCAGTGTTTCACAATATATGTCATTATATTTGCAAGACATGTCATTATATTCTACTTATATCTATCTAGTATATTTGCTGAAATTATCAGCCGGAAAAGGAATGTCTCATGCACTTTACCATTATAGCACTTATATGCCCTATACTTTAATATTTTTTCACCCTCAGTCTAACACCAGGTGTTGGTTGCATCAAAACTGGATTCTTTCACTGCTGTTTGATTTTACCATGTCTAACATCATAGAGTAATAGTACAATGCACTAGGATATCAATGGAATGGGTATAGAGGTTTAATTTCAATTTCCTTTGTATGCCATGCTTGAATTTTTTAATGCCGGGTGGGTCGGTTAATAGGTAAAAATGTCAATTTGATCAATTTGTTGTGTGGCAACTTGATTATGGAAGTGCTCTAACTGGAAACAGTCAAAGTGCTTTGTTTGCTTGTTCAAAGTTTATAATATATGAATACATTTATCTATACCACCTGCATGATCTGCTTAATAATATATGTAACAACCTTTGGGCTACATTTTATATATCTTTAGAGACACCCCAGCAAGTCACAACAAGGGTGAACTGATGTTGTTTTTTTTTAATAAAATTACCCATTTCACTGCAAAGTGCCCAATTTTCAGCAGTTTGTTAATATTTAAATGTTTCTGTATCTTGCCTAATGTTGGACAATTTTATTTGCCAAGGAAAGTGTCCAGCTAGACTCATGATGTTTCATGCCCATGATGTTTCATGTTGACATATTTAGATGTAATTTTCCTTAACACTCCCTATACTTTAAGTTCTGCACACAATATTTAACTCTGAGGTCTCAAGCTAGACAATTTTGCTTATTGACTGTGGTCTGCTTGCCCATTTTTCACCTTTTAATACTGACAATTAAGCTGGCATGTATTGGCAATAACTGCTTGATCTGCAAGATGCTTGGTGGCATGGGTCTAACTGCTAGTAGACTACTAGACTGCTCACCCTGCAATTGATTTGAAACCCAATCGTGTAATAGATTCCTTACAGTTACTCAAACGTTGGTAACTCTGACTGTGGTAAACAATGCCATTGATTTGACACTGCTTAAACTGCCACATTCACCCCTGCCAGCCTTAAACTGCCACAACCTAGCGTTGACAGCTAATAAGAATACAAACTGTTTTATGTGTATTATTTTATACAATTTTAAACGATACTGTAATATACCTGTCAACCATGGTGCTGTATTG